TTTATTTTTTTTGTACAGGATATCGATCACACGTGTCACAGCAGATATTTCTTTAGCCAAACGGTCTGTTCTCAACAACCCCAGTAAAAGGGCCATCATCGAAAGATCCAACACTCGCTCCAGCTTAGGTAAGAAAACACTTTATGTTCCACTTTCAGTTTAGTGCATCCGTAAAGTAAAACTACTAATAGAAACAGTAGACATGTTTTCTGTATGGAGAAATTCATGCAACCAACCATACCAAAGTTTTGAAATTGTTTTCTTATGTAGAGGATGAACTATGGTCCCTGTGATTAATATTTATTTTTAGCTTTGAATAATTTGCAGATAATTTTCTATTTTCGATGATTCACCAGTTGCCAATTAATTTTCTGTCGAAGCTAATCGGTTAATCGATTATTCATCGCTTCAGCTTTAAACTAAAGTAGGTTTCAAATAAATGTGCTGAATAAGAGGACATATGATTTTGTATCTTTTGTTTGAATCGTTTCTCGTCTGATCAGCTGAGGTGCAGAGTGAGATCGAGAGGATCTTCGAGTTGGCCCGCTCCCTGCAGCTGGTGGTTCTGGACGCCGACACCATCAACCACCCGGCCCAGCTCCTCAAGACCTCCCTGGCCCCCATCATCGTCCATGTTAAGGTCTCCTCGCCAAAGGTACTGTATAATAATGTGGGCTCAGTTGCAGGTTTAGACTACACAACCTTTTTATTCAGTGGTTTACAGGAGTTATAGCCAAATATTCACAACAACCCTGGACAAAGATGTAATGTTCAGTTTGAAGGATTTAGTGACATCTAGTGGTGAAGTTGCAGAATACCCCTCCAGCTTAATCTCCCCTTCCCCATGTACGAGAACCTATGGTGGCCCTAAGGTATCACAAATACTCAAAAGGCCAGAGTCAGCGTGTGGTTTGTCCTTTCTGGGCTACTGTAGAAACATGGTGGTGCAACATGGCAGCCTCCGTAGAAGAGGACCCGCTCCAGATGTAAATATAAATGGCACAATCCTGGGTAATGTAAACAATACTTTGTTGAGTTGGTGATGGTTTCAGTTCTGCACAGAAGCACCTCTGCATGGATCTGCTGCATTTCCTCTACTCTGGGTCTACAGCTATCACCACTCAGAATAATCAAGGCCCTCCCAGATGCTACGCCTGTGCGTCTTCAGGCCGTCACTTCCTGGTCTACCACACTGGTTTTTACAACGCACCTTCCTAGCATGCGAAACCCCTGCTTTGCTACAATTGTTACAGTTTGTTACACAGTCTTTTCAAAGTCCTGATACTTATGATAACTAAATGCTGTTGAGACATATTTTGTCATTTGTGAGACCTATATTTAATTATTTAATTGATATTCCCCTTCTAAAATGACACGTGGCTTA